GGCCCGGCCCGGCCCGGGGAGGCGGCGCGGCGGCACGCGGGGCCCGGGGCGGCTGCAGGCCCCGCACCCGCTGCAGGGCCGGCCCGGGGAAGCACGGAGGTCCCGGCTCGGGGAGGCCTCGATTGCCGGGAGCCGCAGCACATTGTGAAGTATACGGGCTGAGCTCCCCGGACAGCTCCGGCACATGGCCGAGGCTTCGGGCTCGGCTTCCCGCAGAGCCCCGGCTGGGTGGGCGCCTCAGGGGCTGAGTGGCTGCAGGACTTCGTCCGGCCCTGGATGAGGGGATCCCCTGAGCATCCCGGGCAGAGACGGCCCCAGAGAAACTTCGGAGACCTCCGGGGTCTCGTCGGAGGGCTCTGTCCGGGGAGGGCATCAACCCTCAAACACCACCAGCCTCCACTGCTCTGTCCGTGTCGAACACCATGAGACACCTGAGTTTTGTCCAGTTTGGACCACGCACCATGGGCCTGGGGATGTAGGAGCACCGGTCCACCAGCCGCTCTTGCCTCCAACAACAACTAGAACTGGTTTGGAACCTGCAGTGCTTCTCTGAGCTGGGCAACTGCCGCGGGGAGAAATCAGGGGCTGGCCAAGAGGTGGCACTGCATGGACTGGAATGGGTCACAGCACGTGGAGACTCCCCAAATCGGGGATGTCTGGTTATGGGCAGCAGGGTGCACCAGCTCTGAGGCTGCAGTGATGGGGACACTGAAGGGAGAAGAAGTGAATTGCCAGATGCAGAGATCAAATGAGAGTAGTGTGACAGGGAAGTGCAAAAGCGTGTGTCCTCCCTGGAAAGCAGTGATAGACTCTGAGCCCTAGACTCTAGATACCATCCTAAAAGCTGAACATGCAAACAAGCCACTACACAATCCTCTGAAAATCAGAAATAACTCAGAATAGTTTCCAACAGAGACTGCTGCTTTCTTATGTGATGACGCTGCCACTGTTGCCTGCCTCAGTTCATTTAGGGAACACTTTTGGAAATGTAACATTTTTTCCCAGCTTTGTGAAGCTCCCAAATATCCACTCTGGGCAGTGACACTCCCCATCCCACCCCAGCACAGAGCCTGGCAGGATGATGTGGCTCCTTGTAGTCTCTCATGTGAATGATGCTCGGAGCTCATTTACACATAGCAGTGCTGGTCTCAGGCGTAATAATAGAAAAGCTGATGTGGGATTCAGCTGGTAAAGAATTAAAGGATGGGAATATAATTAATGCAATCAGCCTAGTTTCCAGAAAATAGCTCTTGTCAAACTCTGATGTCATCCTTTGAAGAGATTACAAGTTTGGCTGATAAAGGTTATGGCATAGAAATAATAGACCTGGGCTCTGTTCAGGCATGTGACTTAATCCATATACTATTCTGATTAAAAATTAGCACAATAGAACATCAAGAGAGACACCTTAAAGGAGCTGGGAGCTGGCAAACCGACAGCCATCAATGGGGAATCCCTGCAGAATGGGAGCGCGCTCAGTGGGTGTCCAGGCTTGGATGGGAAGCCCAGTGCTATTCAGTATTTCCATCAATGGTCTAGAAATAGATTAAAAAGCCCTGCTGAGAAAAACGCCGGGGCGAGGGAAATGAGAGGGGCAGGAGACATGGACGAGGTCAAGACAGCTGTAGAAAACTTCACAAGCCGAGTTCCTGGCAAATAAAACGTGCTTGAATGTGAGCAGCTGTGAAAGGGTCTGTCCACTGAACACAGGGCCCTTCTGCTGGAAACCCAGGATCTGGGAAGGACACATGGGGGGAGTTTAGGAGGCAGGAGGGATAATGTGGGAGCAGCAGGGGGGATGTCCAGCTGGGACACGACTGGGTGCTACAGCAGGAGGGTTCCAGCGTGTGTGTCTTGGAAAGGATGCTGAGGAATGGAGAAAAGGTGGAGGAGAGTTAAAAGTGAGCCCTGCTTTGCCGGAGGGTAGCTGAGGCCTGCAGCCTCCCCAGCAAGTTTAAAGCAGCCCCAGAGGTGCCTCCAGTATAGCACTTCAGCTGCCTCATGGGTGAGAGACAATCAGGTGTTAGAGCTTTTCACCTCTCAGAGGAAGGCCCAGCAAGATTCATGGCTTGAACTGAATTCATTTGAGTAACAAGAGCAAGATTCCTCTATGGCAAGGGAGATCTGAGAGGGTGGGCAATGAGTTTGGGTGCAGCAGGATGCAGGTGGTTGAAGTGCTGGGGTTTGACATGCCCTCCCTCATGCTGCCATCCTTCCCGGACCTTCCTTGCTGCTCCTTGGGTTGGGCTGCACCTGGGGAGGTGGGAGAAGTGCTGGAGGCTCATCTTGCTCCCACCAGCTCCTGGCACGTTCCCCCAGCTCAGAGGACACACCCTGGAGTGAGGACCAGCCCCCATCCCACCCCAAAGGCACATAGAGAGGCAGGGGACCTCCAGAGCAGCTGGCATGTCCCTTCCAGCAGTGCAGGATCACTCGCAGGGAAAGCAGAGCCACCCCTGCCCTGCTCCAGCAAAGGCAGCCAGGCAGCTGCCCCTTCCTAGGCCACAAGAAGCAAATTCCACAGGTCAATGCCAAGCCCTCACGGCACAGTGCCTCATTATTTTCTGGTGCTCTAGCAGGAGTGCTTGGGGCTGAGAGGGCCATGGGCTCCCTCTGGAGCCCCTTCTCTGCCTTTTACCTCTCAGGTGCCTCATGACGAGGAGGCTTATGCCTGCACTCCACCAGGGGCCAAAATCACTTGCTTCCAAATTTATCTGAGGACATCGATAGGTGATAAATCACCATGAACATTCCTAGCTGTGTGCTGGAAGAATCAGACTGCAAGGTCTTTGAGGCCAATGAACCAAACCTGGTTATTTTTCCCTCTTCATCAGCTGACCATGAAGCTCTGCCTTTCACCCCAAATACCACCCTTACACCAAAACTGCCACCACTGAGATGGCAGTGGTGTTTTGTGTTCCCCTGGTGTCACCCTGCCACTGAGGCTGGCCCCATGTGAACCTGGGGTGCTGGACACTTCCCAGCTCCCAATGCACACATTCCTTTCTGCCTGGAAGAAACAAGCAGCAAACACTGGAGAAAAGGAACTGCTCTCAGCCTTTGGTCTGAAGAGTCTGTGCTGCATGCAGGCAGCACTGGTGCAGTGCAGTTCCAGAGCCTCCTTGCAAAGGGATGTGTTCTGCAGCAACCTCCCCTCCTGCCAAGGTAGCTTGGGACCCGCCAGCTCTCCAACACCCCATCTGCAGAGCCTGAAACCGCTTGGATCAGCTTCAGCACTGACTAGAGTCCTCCCAAATGAATTCTCCTCTTTGTAGCGGCTCACTGGCTCCGCCGGAGCGAGGTGGGTCTGAGCGGTGCCGAGGGGTGATGCCTGCTGGGCTGTCAGCATGCGGCGTTCCCTTCCAGCGGCGGGGATGTGCGTGGGTGGGAGCCGGCGTCCCTCTGGCGCTGGCGGATTCGGGAGGGAGTGCACTAGATGGTGCTGTTCAACCTTTGGCTGCCTTTTAAAAGGCTCTTGCAAGGTCATCAGCGATGCCGAAATTCGGTGGTTTTATTCAAAAAGCTTTTTTGGAATTAGGGGATAAATAGAAATACTCTGAAATATGAGGTCTTACACTGATCACTGGCAGAGGCAAAGGGCATGTGCTGCCTCCCACCTCGGGCCTGCAGCACCCTCAGTGCTGAGGGAGGACCTGGGGTTTGCCTACATGATCAATGATGGCTGAAGAAAATAATGATTTAAAGAAGAAAATGATGCCAAGAAAAGAATGTCCTGGGGTGCAAGAGGCGGCTGACAGCTCTCTCTTGGACTGCAGGCAAGATGATGCTTACAGAATAGGAGGAAGAAAATGTATTAGCATTCTAGATAAAATTATTGGTGTTGTGGCACCAGGAACTCAGAGCATCCCAAAGAGCCCGGCTGGGATGAGGCACCAACAGCCCAGTGCTACTGAGGGGACAAGCAAGCAGAGCCACAGGCTACAGCTGGCAGGAGAACAAAGCAGAGAAGTGGCCATGGATGGGGCTGGGGGCTGGGTGGGAGTGCCTGCCTCACTGGGAGGGAGGGATAGAGCAGATCTCAGTGTGGGTTGTAAGGAAGCCACAGACAGCTGTGCCAGGGCTGGGGGCAAGAGTGGAAGTGAGTGGTGCTGATTTCAACGACTACAGCATCCTTTCTTGCAGGTCTAAACATACCTGTCCAGCCTGGCCATGCCAGCCTGCCAAAGCATCCATGGAGCTGCGGGTGCAGGTCCCACAGGCAGCCTGGGGGTGCCTCCTTCTTTGGATTCCCCAGCTCAAGGAGGCAAACACATTGCTGCTAATGCTGGGTAAAAAGGATGAAGCACTGTTTGGACACCAAGTTTGCCTTTTCACTCAGATTCTGCTCTTTTATAAAGCCCATGGTGGAGCCTGTTCCAGGCAGTGAGAAGGTTATAGGGCTTGGCTGCTCTGGGCATTCAGATCCTTCCCTTCCGGAAAAATCATCCCAGTTTCCCTGTTCACTCCTGTTCCCACATGGGTGCTTGCTTGCAAATCCCCTGTTTATGCTGGGGTACAGGCCTGGAAGTGGATGGATGGGGCAAAAGCTTTACTGCTAACATCAAAAATAACAAAAACGGTAGCCAGGGTGACCTTCTTCCAGGAATGTAGGGGGAGAAGGGCCTGGACCGGCTAAGGCAGCTATCTGAACTGGGCTTTGCAGCTGCCAGTGTTTGCCCATGGTGGTGCAGATGCCCAAATGGCAGATGGAAGCCCCAGTACACAACCCTGAGTTCCTGCAGTGTCCCAGCACCCTGGCCTGTTCCCCAGGGATTTGCCCTGCCTTCATCTCCATGTGTTCCTCTTTGTGCCTGCCCTGGCATCAGCCTCTTTCCCCTAGCTCTGCTTTGCTCTTCCCACTGGATA